TGGCGGCAGGGGCACTAAAAGAGGGTATGCCGGTAAGACAGTGACCCGAAAAAATGCAACTCAAGAAGATGATATCGATCATGCAGACAAACATGTACATGCACATACACAACATGCAAAGGAGCAAGTGGTAGGTCGATCCAGATGGAGTATCTGGTCAAACCAAAGTATTGTGTCAACCGGACCGGGGTAGCCGGCTGAAACACAAGTGATGTGCCCGATTTGAGATAACCGATCGAGGCACACGTGGTGTCGGTGGAGGTGCAAGTGCAAACTATAAGATGCAAGTGCAAGTGCAACGTGCAAATGCAACGTGCAACGTGCAAGGTGCAAGGTGCAAGTGCAAGATATAAGATGCAAGTGCAAGTGCAACGTGCAAGTGCAAGGTGCAAGTGTGATATATGACACACAATATGTAATAATGCAAGACACATATGCAAACAATGAGGTGCAAATGACCACACATGATAGCGAGCCACGCTCGTACTAACGACATCACCTAGGAAACCTAAGGTTTAGACCCTTGGAAATGCGGCATTGCCGCCTCTTGTTTTGGTGAGGAAATGTGGGGAGTTTCTCCCCGGATCTCCGAGGGGGAAACTCTCCACGGCGTTGCGACTTTGCAAAGCGAGCCAGCTAAAAAGCTTCTGTCGCTTTGCCAAGTTCGACCTCCCAACTTCTCCAAGTAAAGTAGGGAAACCCAAAGCAAGGGAAGTGAGGGACTCCGACCCATCGGGACTTGTGCTAAGGCTCACAACAAATGAGAGACACTCAGCTCTACGAAGGGCGTTTGGATACGCATAAAAAGTCCTAACCTAAAGGCTAGCGTGGCGACCAAACCCACACGCCTAGAAACCACTAAAACTAAGGCCGACTAAGACTTTAGGGGATATCAACATTGTGATGGTTGTAGACACATTCTCTTTATGCTGAAGGAGAGCCCACACATCGAGCAACCAGTGTCTGGTCAATGATCCAGTGTTCTCTTTACTTGCTCCACAGGACAACATAAGGTAATGAGGGCAGGAGGTCCACTTTCCAACAAATCTTGCAAAAAAACAAAGGGAAAACAAAAAATAGGAGGGAATGAGTTATACGAAGTACGAGAAAAATAACTGATTTTGACATATGAAAATATAACCAAAAAATACCTTTACGAGAGAGGTTGCTCGATG